GCGCTGGGCCCCATCCGGCAGCCGCCCGCCCCGGCAGCGGGCCCGCCCCGTGGCTGCTCCGTCCTCGGGTGCGTTTCCCCCCCGCATCGCCCCCCGCGGGGTGAGGGAGGCCGCGGCCCCGGGCAAGGCCCCGCGCCGGTGGTGTCTGCCCACCCCGCACCGATCCCCGGCGCCGTCCCCCCTATTAGGGCCTCCCAGTCGTGTCGTGTCGTCACGGTCGGTGTGGGGCTGGGGGACACCGGGGCTGGCAGCTCAACCCACTGCAGCCGCCACCGGGCTCATCCCTGTCCGCACCGCTCTGCCCTGGAGCCCCCTGGTCCCCGCGCCACCGGGGCATGGCTTCCTGCCCTCCTGGGGGCCGGGGCCTCATCCCTGCGGGGCCCTGCCCCACTCCTGCCCCTCGGCTTTGTGAAGGAGGGGGGAACTGGGCTGGGGCTGTCTCTCTGCCAGTCTTTGCTCCCTGCCACTTGCCAGCCCCACAGCCACCCCAGTGCTTTGTGTGGCCGGCCAGTGCCAGCCCAGCTGGTGCCACGCTGGGCTCTGGGTCAGCCGGAGGAGCGAACGCTGCTCCGGCTCCATTAAGGTGCCTGAAAGGGACCAGTGGGAGCATCAGTCGCTGCTATCGATGGTGAGCAGCGAATAATGTGGGGTCATGCACAACAGTGAGAAGAGGGGGACACGGACCGCCTGACCCCTGTGGCTCTGTCCCCGAGGGCCGTGCTCTGGTCCCTGTGCTCTCGGCCATGCTGGCAGCTCCCGCGCTGAGGCACGGTCCCAGCTGCCCAGCAGATGGGCTTCTGCTCCCGGAGCTGCGTGTCCCCACAGCCTGTGCACGGAGCCCTGTGCCGGGACAGGGCCCGCTCGGTGGCTCTGGGGGCCAGACACTGCGAGGGCTGAAAGCTGCGCTCTGCAGCAAATCTGCCATCAGAAATACCTTCCCTCCCCCTCTCAGCTGGGGAGCGGGACCAGGCACCTCAGGGACCACTAAGGATGTCAGGAGAGCCATTGCTAGCCCTGTACTGGTCCTCACCCCGTGGGCCACGCTCTCCCATCTGGGCAACCGTGGCGGAGCCAGGCGCAGGGGACGGTGCCCCAGGGATGCTGTGGCACTGCTGGACTGTGGGGCTGAGCCGAGGGGGCAGGGAGTCCCTGGGTCTCCCCCTGGGACTGGGTTGAGGGCTCCCCACCAATGGCCAGGCCCTCGCAAGAGGGCCCGCTCTGGCATCTGTGCTTCAGGGGGTGCTTGTGAAAAGGGACTGGAGATTGAGGGGCTGCCCCATCCCAAAGTGTGGGAACAGCATCCTTTGGGAAGGATGCAGCTGGGGGGGGGGCGCAGTGAAGGAGATGGCCCAGGGTGGTGGGGGACATCTGTTGGGTCTTGCAGGCTCCAGGTCAGGCACAGCTTCGGCTGCTTGTCACTGCCCTTCCAGCCCCGAGCACCAGCCTGGGGGTACATGTCAGGCACAGGGCCAGCCCAAAGCGGCCCCAGGACAGTGGGCTCTGTCATCCCTTCCTGTGGCACAGGCACTACGCCAGGGACTGCAGGAGGATGGGTCTGTGTCCAGCCAGGAAGCATAAGTGCCCTCTGAGAGCCTGGCACAGGCTTCCCCCCACTGCTGTGGGGCAGCAGCGTTGTGTGGATCTGGGGAAGGTCTGTTTTCCCATGTGGTGGAGGGGGTCTGGTGTTGGAGCCCCATGGTCTCAGCCATGGGAGCAGGACCAGCGGCTGTCCCTGGGGCAGGGGCAAGTGTCATGGGCACCTGGCCCTCCTGCCAGGGTCGGGCTGTGCTCAGCACCATCTCAACATCGCTGCTTCCTACCAAGCCGGGTCTGGCAGCATTGGTGCACGCCAGCTGCCCACCGCAGCCCTGTGCGCCCCTCTGCCTGCCCTTCCCGTGCTGGGGGTCTGGCTGCGAGCTGGCCATGGGACAGAGGTGACAGGGCTTCCCAAGGAGCTCAGAACAGGGTGTCAGGGCAGGTTGTGGCCATGAGGCTCCTTGCCCTGCTGTGTGCAGCGAGGTGTGCTCCTGCAGGCTGCTGGGTGCTGCCTGGCCCCTCCTGGCCCCAGTCCCCTCCTTGGGACGGGCCCTTCTGGGACTGGTGGCACAAGCGGAGGGGGCTGTGCTAGAGCCAGCCAGGTGCCTGACACCGTCCCAACCCCGTGGTCTCCTCAGCAGACACCCTGGTGGGGAAGATCTCCATCCCGGCGTACGCGCTGAGCGACGACGACTGCTCCTCGGGGTACCAGCAGCTGAGCGTGGAGAGCGAGCCGGAGGAGGGGGGCGAGCCGGGCCCCGCGGCGCTGCCCTGCCGCCAGTGCGGGCTGCAGCTGGCTGCCAGCCTGGGCCAGAGCTGCCTGCAGTGCGCCGGCGCCGAGGGGGGACGCAGCCAGCGCATCGTCTACTCCTGCCAGCTCTGCCCCTTCGCCTCCCACTACTCCAGCCACCTCAAGCGCCACATGAAGACACACAACGGGGAGAAGCCCTTTGCCTGCCCGCAGTGTGCCTACGCCTCTGCCCAGCTGGTCAACCTGACCCGGCACCTGCGCACGCACACGGGGGAGAAGCCCTATCGCTGCACGTGCTGCAGCTTCGCCTGCAGCAGCCTGGGCAACCTCAAACGCCACGAACGAGTCCACAGCCAGGACAAGCCCTTCCAGTGCGCCGCCTGCGACTACCGCTGCAACCAGAGCCGCAACCTGAAGCGGCACATGCTCAGCCACCGCCTGCCCGAAGGCGAGGGGCCGCACCGGCGGGACAAGGACCCAGGTAAAATGGGGGGCGCGGGGGAGAG